AAAGCCTTTGCCTGAGCTGGACACACTGGCTTTGCAGCCATGGATAAGCATTCTTTAACAAAGTCCCCTGTAGAACATGAACGTCCACTCCTGGCAATTAGAGCTGAAATCTCATAGCTGGCCTGTGTTGCGCTTTCCTGGGCTGACGAGGGTCGTGTGAGCGTGTTTTGTTGTGGGCAAAGTTTAGCTAACAACTCTCGGCTCTTTGTCTTCCATGCCTCGCCTTTGAACCTTGTGAATGCTGCATGCCTTGTTTCATAGTGCCAGCAGTTATTGTACTCTTTTAGCACAGCGCCAGCCTGACCGCATATTACGCGGTCCGCCTTAGCCTTAATATCCGTAACACACTATTCGTCCTCCCAGGCTCGTTTACCATGCCTTCTGTCTGTCTGTCTGTCTGTCTGTCTTCTTTTTCTTCTTCTTCTTCTTCTACTTCTTCTTCTTCTTGTCCTTGTCCTTGTTTTATTGGCGGGTTGCGAGCTGAGCTGGGAGCTGCTTGACCTGACAACTGGGGTGGCATAATAAATTGGGGGGGGCTTCTCTCACCAAGTGCTGCTCAGGGGGGATTTGTTGGGCTTTTCCTCTATAATAATAGTAATAACAGTAAGGTCTAGACTTTACTGTGTAAAGTGTCCTGAGATGACTTTTGTTGTGATTTGGCGCTATGCAAATAGAACTGGATTGAGATGAATTAAGTGGCACTAGGCGTAATAGAGGCTCTGACTGCCTCCACTTTACCAAGAAAACAAAGCATTTCACAGTCTGCACCACTTTCAGCTGGGGCTAGATTTACCAGCTGATCAACCATCGTACAATCTAGAGTTACAATGATAGGTGGAAATAAGTCATAAATGTCCGCGGCAAAGCTCATCACTGTATATTCAATAAAACTTCTGTGAGTAAAAAGTCAAAAAGAACAGCTGATCAAAACACCCGCATAAACGTGCAGAGAAGTGGTAATTCGAGCTTCGCCTGCCGTCTGTCATCCACCGCCAGCTGGTCAAGCTTGTCATGAAGAAGTTGAAGGAAAAAGATGTCTGCAGTGTTAAATGAGAGGCAGCGAGAGGGATGTGGCTTTGAACTGGCGAACCAAGCAGATTCTTTAGGTAATGACAGGTGATTGTTTGGGTTGTAGGATAAATGCAGAGGACTAGGTTAAGTAACGTCTTCTGAACTGTCAGTCACAGTTAGCCAGATGAAATACTTTGTTGAATGATATTTAAAGTTAAAGAAACCCCCGCTGTTTGAAGTCAAGTTTTTTTTAAAGTTCAATAAATGCATGATGTTTTCTAAGAAATGAGTAATCGTGTTAAATAATTGTGATGTCAATTGCCCTAGGGGGCAATAAATAATAGCAAATAAGATGGGATGTAGAGCATCGAGCTCAAAGTGACAAGGTTGGAGGACGAAAATTCATCATAAGATACTGTGGGACATTTCAGGCTCTTCCTGTAAACGGTCACTAGGCCATCACCACAGGACGGGGACATACCTGTCTCCTGAGACCGTGACCAGGTGTCTGCAGTCGCTGCTGAACTTCAGACCTGTGACGATCTCTGAGGAACACACAGTCACTGTAAACTGGACAAAGGTCACAGTTCCATACATACACAGGTATTAGAGGGGGCACATTCATACTAGCATACGCTACCAGTCCGAGGCTTGGACACACACTCACAGTGAACCAAATGGGACGTGCCTACTGTAAACATACAGTACATGTGTATTTACATCTGTGGCAGTAACATGTTGCACTGACCTGAGTGTCCGAACATGGTGGCCACACACTCTCCAGAGTAGAAGTCAAAGATACTGATACTCTTATCTGAGCAGGATGTGGCGATGTAGAGACCTGATGGGTCGATCTGCACCTGAGGAGAACAAGGACGGGTTAACACCTGTCCAACACCTGTTGGCAACAGGACAATGTGGCCGGTACCAACCTTAATGGGAGTGCCATCCTCTCCCTGAGAGCCTTTGTACAACTTCTTCTGTTTCCCATTACTGATGTTAAAGATCCTGTGGGGGAGGGGGGTGATAATCAATACAATAATGGAGTTTGCCTTACAACAGCTGTTAAGGTACAACATCAAATAGAAAAATGTTGACATCAACAGAGCATCTTGGTTTTGTGGCTCAGATCAGATCCATTTCATTTATTCTAAGATCTTCTGCTGATCCACAGTATTTGTTCTGAGCACAGGCTCTTTGGCTGTATCCACTCCGATTAAGGATTAAAGTGAACAATTCAATGTTATAAATCTTAATATTCTGTCCAATTTTATATGCAGATGCTGAAATTTAGTAAAAAAAAGACTTCCACATCGTCTGAACTTAAAAAAAAGACTTACTGAGAGATTTAGAATACATAAATCAACACAGAAAACACACAGTTAACACTGTCTTTTCTGTATTTTAAATGATACAAAAACACCGAGTCCAGACAGATAGTCAGACTGGAACCAGCATCATGGTGTGTAATCCTGGTTCTGGTGCATGCTGGGTAATGCAACAGGTTTATTAATTTCCACTCTCAGCCAGGTATGTGCATTTACCTGATGCTGCGGTCCTGGCAGCCCACTGCTGCATACTTCCTGGTCGGCTCAACGTCCATGTCGTACAGAGTGGTCTTCCTGACGACGTGATGAGTCCGCGTAAACTCCAGCCCCTCATCCACCTGACACAGCGACAGGAAGAGGCCAAGAAGAGGAGCACAGCAAGTTACTGAGGTGTCTGTCATAGAGTTACAGCTTCTCTGCAGGAATCCCACTGATATGAACCGAAACTCTTCGATAGCACAGGTGACAGATGATACTGGGTGTTATTCTGGACCTTGTCATTGTCACTGTCTTCACTGAAATTATGGGATCTTGTGTAAAACCTTTTCCTAACCTTGGCATAAATTCAGTAACTGCATAAACTTTCAGACTGTTGAACTGCATCAGTTCATGAGCAGTCATGTGTTCATCACACGTCACCATTAACAATATCACCACCACCACTAAAATCACCATATAAAGACTTCTGCTTCGTTAGCAGCAACGTTTCTTTCAGTTTCCACTACACATCGCTAACTTTGTGTCTCCTCTCTCCTGTAGTGTGTCCTCTCTCTCTCCCGTAGTGTGTCCTCTCTCTCTCTCCCGTAGTGTGTCCTCTCTCTCTCTCTCTCCCTGTACCTTTCTGGCTCTGGAGCTCTAGCAGTCACCGGCCACATCGACCTGATCAGTGTTTGATTGTTGTGTCTTGTTGCTTTTCTTCTTTTGTCTCTCCTCTATCCACTCACCCCAACCGGTCGAGGCAGAAGGCCGCCCACCAAGAGCCGGGGTCTGTCGGAGGTTTCTTCCGTTAAAGGGAGTTTTTCCTCCCCACTGTCGCCAAGTGCTTGCTCAAGGGGGATTTGTTGGGTTTTCCCTATGTAATAATATTGATAACAGTAAGGTCTAGACCTTACTTTGTAAAGTGTCCTGAAATGACTTTTGTTGTGATTTGGCGCTATACAAATAACATTTGATTTGATTTTCAGAGTCTGACAGTTCTGAGTGTCAAGTCAGAAACCAGCAGAATAAAGCAGAACAAAGGGACCAGAGTCAGTGTGGTGTTAGGACGTGTTTCCAGTCCGTGTGTCAGTGACATGTCCTCAGAGCAGCTGGGACAGAAAGACAGAGTTCAGGTCACATGAAGTCAGACGCTGCATTGATTTAATAACCGATGATTACTTTGATAATGGATAATTGTAATTCCAGTAAAAACTCCAAACATTCACTTGTTCTTTCACTTTCTTCTTTTTCTTCCATTGATTCCATGAAAAACAACTGATAACAATTGGCTTCAGTTGGTTTTTATGTGTAAGTGGATGAAAATCAATTTTCACTGAGACTTGCCTGGCTGTGGGACAGCGACGTAGCTGTGTGCGAACGTCTTCACAGCTCCACAGTTAAACAAACAACAACACTGATCTGCATCACAGTCAAAGTACTGACCCCACAGAGCAGGAACACACATTCAACTTGTCACTGAAGTAAAAGTGCAAATGTTTTAGCATCAGAGTATAGCTAAAGTAGCATAAGTAAAAGTACTCCTTGTGTAAAATAATCATAGGTTCATCACTTAAATGTTGCAGCTGCTAGAGGTCGAGCTGATTTTCATGACTTTATCACTTAACATCATCATTTATTAGGTAATGCATTTCCCAATAACAATTAAAGGTAGTTGCAGCTGTTAGATACATGTAGTACAGATAAACTATTTCCCCTGAAATGTAGTGAGGTACAAAGAAGCAGAAAATGGACATACTGTAAATGCAGGTACCTTCCACCAGCAGTTAAATGCATGAAACATGTCAGATGAATGCACTCATTTGAAAACAGGTGACGTGGCCTCGCCATGTTCACACTGACACACCTGAACATCTCCTCTTTGGTCACACTGAAACATATTGTGCACAGAGCTGCAGAACAACACCTGCTTTTACTTGTGATTGGCTCTCAGGAAGAGTTGTCACTCAGGTATGGCTCTCACCTGCTGAGCGGTGCGGAAGTAGACGCTCTTGTCGGCTCCACAGCTGATCATCCTCACTTTCCCTTCATTGGCTGGTGGACACAAGCAGATGATGATGTCACCAGCAGCACAGGTGAGTTATCACATTTACCTGGTGACACTTTAATATGAACTGTTCAAATCCATTACTGCAGTAAAAGTACTAATACCATGCTGTTAAATACAAATGCATTCAAAATGTTACTGTAGTAAAAGTATCCAAGCATGGTCAAGAAATGTACCTCAACTATTTAGTATTTACTCGAGGCAGAGAAACAGCTCCCGTTACTGTTATTATTATGATGATATGAAGGTCATTTTAATGATTCTGCACAGAACTGCAACTGATGATTATTTTCATTATGGATTCTTCTCCTGAAAATTTCCTTGATTTATTTGATGTTTGGTTGTAAAACTTAAGAGAATAGTGAGAAAAAGCTGAATTAAAGCAGCAAGTCCTTGTGTCCAAGAAACCTGGAGCCATTGAATTTTCATTCTGTCAATCAACTAATTAATGAATTGACAAATTGTTCAGCTTTACTGTTGGACTGTTTCATTTGTAGCACAGATTCATGTTTTAGCTTCACATCATTTTGATGCAAATTTCATAAAATAACCAGCTGTAGCAGATGCAGCAGCATGAAAAGAAAATACTCCAGTAAAGTCTACGAGTACATCAAAACTGTACTTATGTGCAGTACTTCAGTATATTACTCTAACTGTACATGAGGGCTGTTTTTTTAATTACATGGAACCTCAGAGAGTGACACTGACCAGCAAATCTGACAGCTGTGATGGAGGACGAGTGTTCGTCCAGAGTCTGGACCAGACTGTAATCCTGGGACACGTCCAGGATGTGGATCAGACGGTCCCGGCTGGCCGTGGCTAATAACTGGAGACCTGACACACACAGAAGAAATGAAGCAGAGTAAAGTGCTATAGCACTCCCTACAGGCTGCTCAGTTCATTACATTACAACAGCGCGTGAAATGTTCTCAGTGTTCAAGCCACAGTTTGCTGGTTGGTTGGAAATCCATGAGAACAGAAAGGCAGAGGCTATTTAATATCATAAATGTCCACACACAGTTGATGCTCAGCGCTAATTAGCTGGTGTTAGCATACTAACATGCTGGTGAACAGTACAACTGCTAAACATTAGTATGCTGTCAGTGTCTGCTGAAAAAACTTGGAAGGAGGCATCTGGACTTGGTTTTAGGTAGAAGATGTTTCAGCTCTCATCCAAGAGCTCTCAGCTCTCATCAGTTCCGTCTGACTGGTGGTGAGCAGGAGGTATTTATCCCCCTGGGTGGTTTTTCAGGCCTTCGACTGCCAACAATGTCCTCTAATGACTCAGTCGTTATGGTCTGGTATCGGTGAGAGTTGTTACAACGGAAGAGTAGTCTACGTAAAACTACGTCCAGATGCTGTCTTCTATGTGTTTTCAGTGTACTATGACCTGGATAACGGAGAATTTGCACTGACTGTCAGTGTTTAGCTCAAAGCACCACGGCGCAGCCTCACAGAGCCTCTTGTGCCAGTCTGGCTCTCTGTGTTGTGTCATTGTCTTCAGTGCTTTGTGTAACACAAACATTAGTAGAAAACCTCATATCTGAAGTTTAAACTGTTTAATCATGTGCACTCACAGGACGCATGGTTTGTTGGAGATTTATGAGCCCGCGGGGATGCTGCAGACTCACATTGTGTCCTTCGTCTCACACAGAAACATGTCAGGCACCAAATGTTCATCACCCCCTGTAGTGTTTCCAATGTTTTAGTGTTTGTTTAAATGTCGAAAAGGTTTTGGTACAAATTCAAATTCACTTGTTCAGATTCATTCACAGTTACTGATCAGGATGAAACTGTGTTTCAGTTGTGATGAGTTGGCATCTTCTGTCTCAGCACCAAGCTGCAGACGTGTCCTCTGTCCTGCCATTAAACTGCTCGTTAATGTGTATGTATTCACAGCCTCTACTTTCCTCTCATTTCACAGTCGACATGAGTCTTAAAGTTGAGTTTGCTGGTTTTACAGTCGATGTGTAACATCACTGACAGGTTTACTAGCGTCTGATGTGCATGTGTGTGTGTTGTGGGGACATGAATCTGTTTACACAGGGAGACACAAATACATCCCAACAGCATAAATCATTAAATGCCAAGGTAATGAAAACACAACTGTATGCCTGTGTGTGGTTTTGTTCATCATCTACAACAGTGATGAAAGAAGTATTTTAGTGCAGTACTGATACCACACTGTACAAATACGTGCACTGTATGTAAACACAGGGAACAACACACCGTAGACTGTGCTACACTTTAAAATGTGCTTACATCTTGTGATATATATAGAGTGTGTGTATGTTGTGTTATGCACTGTGTTCCACAGTTTTCTTACTGTACATCGTGTTAACCTCTCTGCTGCCTCTCACCTGTATCAGGTTTGGAGAACTCGAGGCACAGGATCTCCGAGTCATGAGCCTGAATATTCAGGATCTCCTTCATACTGTCCAGATCATGGATCCTACAACACAAGTCATCATATAAGGAGTGGAATAAAGCTTTTGCATCCAAAGACACAGAAGGCTACAACAACTTCAGATCACACCAATAAAAGCATTCCCGAGGGCTCCTCTCACCCTGCTCTCAAACTGTTTGACCTCCTGCCCTCTGGGAGGCGCTTCAGGAGCCTCCAGACCAAAACCAGTAGACTCAGGAACAGCTTCTTCTTCTTCCCCACAGCTGTTTCCTTACTGAATTCTGTCCCCCGCTGACCCCCCCACTGCCTTCCTCTATACCACTACACACACCTCACCCCTTCTCATCTCTCCTCCCGGGACTAATGCAATACATTTCTATTACCTGTAACACTAAGGTGATCTGTTAATTTGCACATACTCACAGAATACTGCTCTGTATTCATTTGCACACTGTACTAATGCTGATACTGTATATTTATTTTTATCTTTGCACTATTTACATCCATTGAACTGTTCACTCATGGAACTTATCTTCTTATTCTGCACCGTTTCATTCCATCTCATCCCATTGCACCAGTGTTCCATAAACTTAATGTACCCTGTCCATTACTGTAATTTGAATCCATAGTCTGTTGTATATCGAACATTACCCTACATATCCAACTATAAATTGTACATATCCATCGGTAAATTAGTTCAGACTGTAGATACTGTGCAATCTGCACTGCTGTTATTGCACTTCTGGTTAGATACTAAACTGCATTTCGTTGCCTTGTACTTGGACATGTGTAATGACAAAGTTTAATCTAATCTAATCTAAAAACAATGCAAAGATGACATTCAAACAAAAGATGGAGAAGAGTTTTGACTGTACAGACTCCAGACAGGTATGAAACAGTACTCAGACCATAACCAACTACAAGTGCAGTAGGAACCGTCAGCAGCAGTACCACTCTGACTGAAGAGTTAACCTCCTTTTACACCCATTTTCAAACCCAACAAGCACAGAACAGGGTCGTTGGGCTTTATGGCTGGGATCTGAAAGCATGAGGAGTGAGAGTTTTGGAGTCTGTACCACAGAACAACTCCACAGGAATGGACCAGGCACCATACTCTGGTCCAGTTTCCAGTCCTCCTCAGTACATCCATGGTAGATATGTGATTCCCTTTACCTTAACTCCACCCTAACCAGTTACCATTGCCTACTCTTGAGTATTGGGATCTAAATCTCCTGGGATACTACCCAGTCCCACCCTCACCTGAGGACTCCCATGCGGTCTCCAGAGGCCAGGTGCTGCCCGTTAGGACTGACTCTCAGGGCCCTGATGCCCGCCCGGCTCTGGTCTGTCTGCTGTCCCTCACATCCCGATGACCCCGCTTTCTCTGTGTTGCCACTGGCAACAGTGAGGCTGTCTGTGTCCAGCAGGCTGGTTATGTTGTCGTCCACGTAAATGACCTTCTGCAGGTCCTGGGGGTCAGAGCTCGGGTGGTCAGTTGTACAGGTGTGTGTGTGTGTGTGTGTGTGTGTGATGTAAATGTAGAGGGGTATGTGCGTGTATGTCCTACATGGCTCAGGATGTTCCTGTTCAGGATGTTGTGTCTGTCAATGCTCCATAGTCTGATGGTGCTGTCTGAGGAGCAGGACAGGAAGGAACCAGGGGGAAGACGCACCTCTCCTCTTCCTCTTCCTCCTCCCCACTCTGGGTACACCTGCAGAAGGAACAGCAAGAGGTGCTGCTGAAACTGGAGTGTTTCATTTGAACACAATAGGGAAAATGGACGGGAACATCCGCAGTCGCTGTTACACTCAAGTACATCTCACCCATGTTTGTTATACTGTAGGTTAAAGACTGAGAACATTTCTTCAAAATATGAAACGAATCCCATGTCATTTATAATATTATTACCTCTCTCTGTAAAATGGGATTTATTGACTAAAACGTATTCACAGGTGTGCGACATGTCACTGTGTAAGCCTTTACTTTCAGGAAGATGAACAGCCTAATGTGTCTCCAGTCCTCTAAGTTGTTAATTATTGTTAATATCAACAAAACGTGCACAGTCTGTTCTGGTAAAGTGTCTCTGATCCATCTGTGAGATGACAGATCCTGTGACATGGGAGGTGGCAAAAGGGCGATAACCGTTATTCTTCATAAACAAGATTTGCTCAGTGTGTTCGTGTGGAATGTTTGTGTGACGGGGAGGGAAGGGGAACTCACCATTTTTATTTAAAAATGGTATGTGCTACAGTGTGTTTGGGCTTAGTTTTGTTTTTACATATTTCTCCAGGCTAAGAAAACAAAAGGCTGCTTGCATGATGCAGGACTAGATAAATAAATCTGTCTGCCTAAAGTATTGGAGAGGCCTGCTAATAATCAGGTAAATAATTTTTCAATTAGTAATTGTATTTTGAATCCATGTCAATCTGGCTTTAGTCAGGGACACAGCACTGAGACAGCGGCCTCAAATGTTGTTGGTGATATTGTACAGGCTTTGGATAGAAAACTGGATTGTACTGCTCTTTTCATCCAAAGCTTTTGATTCTGTGGATCACAACAGTCTCTTGCAAAAACTTGGCCATACTGAATTTGAGAAGAAGTCACGTAATTGGTGTGACAGATCACAAGCTGTTGTAGTGGATTAAGTCTAATTTTATGGGTATTCTTAGAGGAGTCCCACAAGGACCCATTTTGGGCCCAACTTTATTCACTATTTTTTGAATGATCTAGGATCCAAAGGCTAGTGGTTAAGGCGCAGCGCTCTCCCTGCAGTGCCCCGGGTTCGAATCCAGGTTGCGTCACGAAGGGCATCCAGCGTAAAACACGTGCCAAATGTCAACATGCGAGTCGTCAGTGTGACGGTTCGCTGTGGCGGGAAAAGCCGAAAGTGACCTTGGGATCCAAAGTAAATAGCAGTACTATGCTTTTATATGCAAATGAGTTTAACAGATGATCTGGACACTGTTTTAATATGATTTTATGTATGCTGATTTTGTGTATATATTTTATTGTTTTTGATGTGTCTTGTGATTTTGAATTTTTGATACAGATTTTATTTGATTCATGCCTTTATGTTTTACTGTTTTGACAATGTTATCTCTATGCCAGGGCACCACTGAGAATGAGAGCTTGCTCTCAACTGGTCTTTCCCTGAATAAATAAAGGTGATGGTGATGATGATGAAATAGCCTACCTGGGGTGGTAGGCTACAGTTGAGGGACAGGTAGCCTACACTCTTTTATATGTGGTCCAGTAGGGAAAAAAATGAAATGCCAGCTACATTGCACTCAAAAAACACAACCATCAATTGTACATGTAGTCACACAGATGATTTTGATACTAAGACTCTGAAGGAAAAGCACATATAGTAGCATATGTATCTTGAAGAGAATTGAAATGTTCCCATACTGGACATAACTTATGTTTTGGTGCTGAAGCCGTGGCAATATAATGCGAATAGCCACACTGCAATGATCTCCAACACTACAAACCCATGAACTTTGTGATCCCCTTCCTCACTCCTTACATCTCAAACATCACATCAAGTGCTATTTGAACCCACAGCCCAGATGAAGTTTCAAGCATCATCAGTGATGTCACTTTCTAAACGATTCAAGCCTTGTCATGAAAGTTCACTTTCTGCTGCCCCAAATACTTGACACATGCTTCGAAGCCTCTGCGTTCGGCCTAACATCACTAAATCATTCAAATGTGACTGAAAACACAAAATCCATCCTTCAATTCATGATAGTTTTCTTGTGTTCTTAGTTTATCTCTTTTCTTTTTTTTTTTTTCCTCAGAGCTATAAAGAATAGCTAGCAGTTTGCCCAGCTTCCAGTATGTATGCTAAGCTAAGCTAGCTGTGTCCTGTTTCCAGTCTTTTTGCTACGCTATGCTAGCTGTCTCTGCTGTTCCCAGTGGTGATGCTGAAGGGACCGCAGGAGTAGCAGTGACAGGTGCTGCTGAATCATGTTTCTGTGGTTTAATAATGGTTTAGCCCCATGACCTCCGGCCTCTGGGTGTGTGTTTGTGTGACTGCTGTGCTGTGATACAAACAAACACACACTGACCTCCACACTCCACACACAGGACGAGTGGTACAGGGCAGAGTACAGTTTTCCCGCCCTGCAGTGGTCTCGCAGGTCTCGGACATCCCAAATGTAAACACTATGATCATTGTAGACACAGGACAGCCAGTGGTTGGTGGGGTCATAGGTCACAGCCACCGTGTCTGGATATCGAGCCTCTTGCCTGCAGGAGAACAGCTGACTGAGGAGGAGGAGGAGGAGAAGGCAATGAGTACTGTAAGGAAATCTTGGAAGCCTAAAAATACCTATCCAATAAACTGGTTCCGAGTATGATACAGACTCTAAATGTGGGCTAAATATGGCTCTGCTACAGTATTAGCTCATAACTTTTTGCTACCTTTCAAGTGTATGCGTTACCTGGCGTGCACCATGCTGGCGATGTCAGCTCCCAGGGAGTGTGGGCGGGGCAGAGTGCAGATGAAGTGCAGGTTGATGGGGCTGAAAGCTCTAACTGTCCCGTCAGAACAACCACAGTAGATCAGCTCGTCAGAGACGGACAAACAGGTGGCCTGAGATGTCTGAGGACGCAGACAGGTGAGTCAGGAGGGCTGCTGAGGACGCCATGATAAACAGAGGCGTGTGCTGCAGTACATCTATCCTAGTGAGGACATTTAGTCTGGTTTGAAGGCTTCAGGGCCAAAAGGCTTTGTTTTTAATGTAAATTGTCATTTGAAAGAGCAGGATTCTCATTTTAATTGTGTAAACATGATATAATGTAAAATACAGCTCAATGTAGCTAGTAAGTACCAATAGTGGTGAGCGGCCACTAGGCTCCACTCTCTGTTCATGTGTGCTGAGCTGAAGCTGGTCCAGTCTCCATTTATTTTATTCTGGTTTTTATTCATCCTGTTTTCAGATATGGTTCTATTGCTTCTCTGTGACCTGTGTCTGAACTGCACTGTAGACATAAAGCTACCAAGTACAAGATTTGATAGATAGGAAATAATTGTGGCTTTAAATTGAACACTGGTCCAAGCAAAGATCACAGCTACATAGTGTACATGTTCTGGACAAAGCACTTTGTTTTTCTGCTGTGGATCTGAGAGTAGCTCAAAGTGCAGATGAGAATATTTTTTGCATGTTATTTATTGTTTATTCGGTTATTTCATTGTTTTCTTGGTTTAAAATGTTTGATTCTCTCATGTTTTATTTTCATTGTCTTATCTGGTTTAACTGGTTTTTATTTAACTTTCTAAAAATATTTCTTAAAAGTTCATCCTTTTTAAAAAGTGCATCATGTACATTCATCTCAAATTGTTTTCGCATCATTTTTATTGTTAACATTGCTTGATATCAGTGTGAAATGCGTGAACCTGTGACAAAAGTACTGTAACAAATAAAGTCTGACTGACTGATGATTGACTGATGCTGTGAGTTTCTGAGGAATGTTCTGGATGTGGTGCAGTGATCTTTGTCAGTCTGTCCAGTTTCTGACAGCCAACTATCAGACTTTAGGGTCAGCTAAACATGACCTCTGGCCCAGAACTGCCCCCGTGACCTCTAACCCTGACTGAACTGTGCTGTAGCAAAGATGGAAAACAATGCCTCCTACTTTATTTTGGAAAGCTGGAATTTTAGCTAATAAAATCACCACATGCTTTGTTTCTTTAGATAGACTGATGTTACTGATGAAGTGAACCTTTCAAATTATAATAGATCAGGTGCCTTAAGATTTATGTGCTTAACAAAAACACACATATCTGAAGTTAACAGAATCTGAGGTGTTGAACGGTGGATTTTCTTCTGGTCAAACATTTCTAGATCTGCACAGCTGTAATATACTTAAATACCATGGTAGAAGGTGTGATAGGAGACATCAGATCTTTGATGAAAGGGTTAAAAGTGAAGCTGGAGGATCTGAACAGACTGAACAAGGTTCTGTGTGTCAGACTGAAAATGAATGAAGGAAAAGAACAAACGTGGGCAAAGACTCACAGACGAGTAGCAGTCACTGAGATGCTGCTCGTCAGCTCTGGTGTAGGAGCAGTACGGCAGTGTCAGTACTGCAGGACTAGTAGTAGTACTATGGTGACAGTACTACAATGTTAAAAGTGTCAGTACTGCAGTAACAGTACTACAGGATTAATACAGCAGCATTAATGCTGCGTTCAGGGTCCTCTGTGAATCAGAGAGTGCAGGGTGAATGGGGGGAGATGTCACTCAGCCAATCAGGTGGAGAGCTGGTTATGGATGAAACTGACCAATGGGGTGAGATGGAGAAAGTGGGCGTGTCCAAATCAGTTGATTCTGCCAGTGAGGACAAAGATTCAGATTATTCAGATGTGAGTGAGTCTGTAATTTTGACACAGGTGTGATCACAGGATGAAGGGACGAGTCCAGGTGAGATGGCGACTTACGGAGACTGAGTCGACTCTCTGCACAGGAAGCAGGAGAGGAAGCATAACAACTTTATATTAGAGCTATTCACATTAGATACAGTCAGATACTACAGTTATTACACATTTTAACGCTGAACGCAGAGAGACTGGTCTGACTCCTACATCATTGTGTTTGTTTCACAAACATTACAAATGGACATGAGGTACTTCATCCTAAAGTCTTCCTCGGTGACCTGCAGCATGTGTGGACTCAGTGAAACCAAACCTGTCCTGTTCAGACGCTGATGTAGCTGCTTGACCTGCTGCACCAATGTCAACCACCTTACACCCAGTAACGTTCTGTCTCTGTCAGCTGGCGTCAGCTCTTCTCATAAGAAACGGGTTTATGAACTAAACTCGTCTACAACCCACTGAGAATCAGACAAGAAGAAACAAACGTAGCTGAGATGCATGAGGAACATGCAGCAGGCGCCAGTTATGAACAGGTCAGATCACTGGACAGGAAGTGCCGTGGATGTGACGCTAACGTTACAGTCAGTCGGACATCTGTTTGTTGTTGTGTCAGCTGTAACCACAGTAACAAAGATGGAGGCAGCTGCAGCCTCACAATGCTGATGATTTAAATATAGATACAGCACAGCAACAAGATTCAAATGTCCCTGATGTTACCTCGACTAACATCTTTAGTTTTTGTGACTAACACAAATCAAATGTGACCAAAAGTAAAATCTTCTCACCAACAGACTGAGGGCCTACTCACACTAGTCTCAGTTCCCCATATCATGCCCAGGCCCCCCCCCCTTCCAGGCGTGCTGAGGTCACCAGGGTGCAACAGACGAGATGGTTCTCGCACAGCACGGTTAGCGATCACACTATGTGTACCGTGCCCAGTTCCACCTCTTCCTTTGGAGCACGCTTGTCAAACAAACTGCATTTTGGGGGTCAAACGTGCCTCCCACAGGTGGAGGTGCTGAGGTAATGGGTGCTCTCACTCACCCGAAGCTCCACCCACTTGTCAAGGAGTCGCCGGTTGTTGAACTCACACAGCAGACCAGAGGAGGTGATGCAGAAGGTAGAGGCAGCTTGTCGGCCACGCCCACACGCCACATCAGTGAAGAAGTTGTTCCTGAGCTCTCCCAGCAACCCTGAACGTCCCAGCAGGGGAACAGTGGCGTTCACCTGGACACAGAGACAATAATGATATTAATCATAGTGCACAGTCATTATCAGGTGATTGACAGGTGACTGACAGGCGAACCTTGGAGGTTTTGGCATGGTCCAGGTACCAAAACTTGACGTGACGGTTGCCGGCAGTAACAAAGTACGAGCTGTCGTCTGAGAAGGAGACGGCTGTCACTTTACTGGACACCTTATTGGCTGCAACCACGACGTTTTTCTGAGAAACAGAATAACAACAGAAAACCGCAGGTCAACACCTGAGAGGGTTCCCGACAAGCTGGGTCAGAGCCCACAACATGATGGATCCTCTGAGCCCGACTGCACCTGGGGGTCGAGGAAGGTTGTACTGATACCGTCACAGAGATTTGTGACAGCACACGTCCCCTTGTCCACAGGATCGGAATTGCTTTTACACAAGCAGCTGCAGCCTGACATCAGCACTGAGGTCAGCAGGTCAAGGCTGTTCTCAGATGGTACTTCAGGTGTGCAGTACTACAGCAGTACAGAAGAAATTCTGTGGTATGTGCAGTAGACATACTCTGACATGAACTGCAGCAATGCAGTACCTTCCAGTTCCAGACGTTGACCATCATGTCGTGCTGGTAACCGACGCTGACAATGTATTTTCCATTTGGAGAAAACGCCACACACGCCACGCCGTACTTATGCTCCTGCAGCTCTGACACCTGGACATGCTCCGACACGTCCCAGACCCGCACCGCCGGCATGTGGCCGCTCTGAGGAGGAGTGTTGGAACATTACATAAACACGTCTCTGCTGGGGAAATTGGAATTAAACCCGGTGAACAATATTTCTGCTCAAGCTGAAATAATTTGTGGATTTATTATATTGATATTAATTATTGTTATAATTAATGTAATTTTCATCACATACGGTGAAAATATATAAATATTCTCCTTGTAAAATGTGAAGCTCTGCAGAATGTAAAACCTGACGTGAAGACGTCCCGCTGGTGATCTGTGGCATTTTTAAATGTTTTCTTGGCATTCGATGAATGGGACAAATAAGAGGACACGTCTCATTGGCTAAGCTCGACTCACCTCTCCTGTAACGACATATCTCCCATCTGGAGAAAACGCCAACGTGGTGATTGCCTTTCTGAAACACACACACACACACACACACACACACACACAGTCACATGATTACACAGGAAACACTGATGGCTGCCCGGGGACAGCAGCTGAAAGCTGATTGGCTGATGGAGTCGCACCTGGAGCTGTTGAAGATGTGATGCTGTTTGTTCTTCCGAGGATTCAGGAGGACGACAATACACCTGTGCACATGCACACGCACAAACACAGGATGAAACAACTGTAGAAACACACACTGCACACACAAGCACACTGAGCTGCAGGTTATTTATTGATACTGTGATAAAAAAACCCAGTGAATGTTCACACTTTTTTCCTTTTCATCAGACACTTTCAGTCTACGTGAACTCACAAACATTTAGTACAGAGGTTCAAAATATTTAGAAATGCTTTCCATATATTACATTAACCTATGCTAGAATGCATGTCCAGTAACTCCATAGACACCAGTACATGGGCCTGAGCAACAGCCCACCTGCTGACTAGAAGCCACTGGTACAGTTCAATATGCTCAGTGGTAACAGGACGGCCCAGGCCCCCTGTTATGGCTGTTGGTCTTATCTCTGATCAGCCACACTGGTCATTATGGTGCAATGAAATGTGGGAAGACATATCACGAAGTACCTTACAATCACTGTGCACACAGTAACCTGAGACCTGATCAGACTTGTTGGTGCAGGTCAGCCTGCAGAGTCAACACACAGTGAGTCATCAGACCAACACAAGTGTGTGTGAAGATCAACACACGGAGTAATGCAGCTGAGTCTGCAGTCAAGCAGTTCTCCCTCAACAATGAGCACTCGACTGTCAACCCTGCCTCCATCAAATGAGCAAAACGAGCAGCATGGGCACTTGAAGGGTTTGTACGCCTCCAGAGAGGGAACACGGACAGATGAGGAGAGGAGGTTAGGTGATGTCCAGTCATTCCTTCAGAATCTCTGTGTCCCCCACATCCTCCTCCTCCTCCTCCCGCTGCTGCTGCTCCACTAACCCACTTCCCTTCAGCCTCTCTTATCGTCTTTTCATCCCTGAACTGAATCTGAACCCTCTGACCTGAACACAAAGCAACGAACAGCTCTGACCAATCAGCAGCCCATGCTCCTCTCAAGCTCTCAGCTGACTGGCTGCTGGGTCTCACCCTCTGACATTCCCTTCATTCCTCTGGCCTGTGTGAGGATGAGGCAGTGTCCCCAGCCAGTCCCCAATCTGTGGCCGTGCAGTGGTCAGACCCAGAACCAGTCTGCATGAAGCCACTGAAAACATCACAACCTGTGAAGCTGATCTGTGTCCGCACCAACACTTTGTTGAGCTTTTAAGTAAAAAACTGCCCACAATGACTTCACTTTTACTCCCAAACTGAAGACTAAAACAAACTATTGATGAAACTACTTTTGACATGACAACTCTGTTAAATGTCAGTCTGAAGGTGGTTCAGCAACAACACAAGGTTTGTTGAAGCATTATGGATGCAGCGGCCGTAGTGGCCCATTTAAACCTTTGATCGGCTGCTCCGCCACTTGTTTCTTATTTTGCCATGTATAGAACAAAGTTGATACTGACCTAATTTCTATTCATTTGTCAGCCTGAGACTAAATCGTGATGGCTTCTCTCAACCAACAGCAGAACTTGTCACTGCACACGTTTCAGAGAAGTGCCTGGTTTTCCATCGATGGTTAGACGTCAATAAAGAGCACTGTTCATTGCTCATGTCTGTGGCTCCTGGAGAGTTAAAAGATTTCACTTATAGAAATTTAACTCATCTTGTTGCTCTGTTTGACTGTGAAGTTGGTATGTGACCCACGTAAATGTGTCACATTCAGGCCTGAACAACAGGATATGGCTCCATCTCTTCTTTTTCATCTGTTTCCAGTAAAACAGCTGAGCTGCATGGCAGCAACACCAGGCGAGGAGACAGACCGACACCCTGCTCTGTCATCAGATCAGTAGACGTCAGGCTGACGACAGCAGTTGTGTGGTCACATATGTCAGCATTTCTCTGTGATTGATCACTGCGAGCTGTGTCAGATTTTTAGTCACTGACGGGTTTGTACCAGCAACACAGAGCAGTGACCTCAGCGTTTGAGAGGAAAGCCCAAATCCAGATGGAGACGACCTTAGTCGTTAGGGGACATTCTTGGCCATCGAAGGACTGAAACACCACCCAGGAGGGTGAATACCTCCTGCTCACCACCGGTCAGGCAGAACTGATGAAGCCTCTTGGATGAGAGGTGAAACGTCTTCTACCTAAAACTACGTCCAGATGCTTTCTTCTTCTAAGTTTTTTCTGCTTACTACGACCTGGATGACTTTGAATTTGCACAGACATCCAAGACATGCAGTTTACAAAAATCTTCAGAAAGGAGTCTCTGGATGCCCCAAAGTGCCCTTGGACCCCATTGCCTCCAAGGCTGCTAAAAAATTCTTGGAACCCTGGAACCATCTTGTTGTGCAAAGAAAAAAAAAGCCTCAAGTGGTCACGCGAGACTAACGGGGTTGAAGCTTAATGCACTTTAAAAACACACAGCATCAGTTTCTCACCCAGCAGGATAAGCCAGCAGTCCAGTTTGGGGGTCGCAGGCCAGCGCTCGGTTCCCTGGAGCCGTGATACCCAGAACCTTCTCCAAGGTCACCTGCAGGGCGAAGATCAGAGGTCATTAGTTAGTGTCACACACCATGTCCACAAAAACCCCTGCAGCTCCTTTAGGATTCCCTTGACCCAGCTCCAGAACTGCAGGAAGCCTTTAAAACCAGTGAAACTCCACTCATCTGCCAGAGTCTGCCTGTTCAGTGCAACTCATAGAAATGAATGGGTTCAATAGTGGGGTGCAGCGCCCACCACGTCCAATCTGAAAAGGCCTTTACTTACTGCTCCATGCAACACTGGACTTCTTAAGACCAGGACAAGTCTCCTGTCCAGTTAGACCGTGGTTCATACCATCAGGTTGCAGTCTCCCTACACCAGACTAAACTTAGGCCAGTCTAACCTTCTGTCAGTCATTGCAGCAAAACAACCAGAAGCTGCAGGTTTTCTCTGTTTGTAAACCATGTATTGTGTGTAATGTGCATTTTATTTTTAATGTGAAGCACTTTGTAACATTGTTTCAAAAGGTGCTATATAAAAAATGTTTTGCCTTGCTTGCAGCCAATGAACCTTAGTTGTTAGCATGTTAGCATTAGCAGGCTTTACTGTAGTGGTGTCCAACCTCCCACTCCAGCACTGAGTCTGTGCCATGTGCTTCTCTCACAGATGCACCAAGCTTTGTTTAAGTCTTCTTTTTCCTCTGAGCTCTGCGTTTTCTACCCATGTCCTAACACATCAGATGAATCATCAGCTGACTTCTGCTGAGACATGAACAAGCTAAAACTGTCTGAAGCTCCAGCCACTCAGACGCTGTTTCCACTTTAACTTCCTGCTGCCTTCTACACAGCCCAGCTGATGTTCAGTGAGATCAGCTGATTGTGTCAGCAGCCCCAGTGAAAGGCTGTGATGTGAAGCCAAGACACTCAAACTGTGTATATGCACTGTAACGTGGCCCTAAATGCACCAGGATCCACAGAGGAACTGTCAGAGCTTTACATGTCGACCTGCTGTGTGCAGCCGGTTGTCATCACGCTCCCAGTGAGTCCATTGATTTCATACTAACAGAGGCATGAAACCAACCTGTCCTGCTGCTGGAATGACAAAGAAATGATCTGTTTGCACTGAGCTATGTTTCCGTCCCAACCCAGGAAACACTCCAGCTCAAACCTACGACCACTTCCCACTGACTTCATTCGTTTACCATGAAACCACAGAGCTGAACAACTTAATTTTCACAGAAAAGAATCCAATTCAATGTGATCAGAATACAATTATAAACTCTTAATTAGAGTTAGTACAGTTATTATTGTGGTTACTACAGATACCACAGTTAGTACTGCAGCTGCTAGAGGACACTGGTCTGAGGTCCACTCTGAACAATACTAGGAAAAATCAAAAGGCCCTGGTTTAGACCACAGGGACATGAAGCTGCCCCCTGTTCAGTGAAAACACTGCACAGCTGCAGTAACATGCCAGGGGCCCCCGGGGCAAAGAGGAGCTGAGCTGCATCCCTATTGACCTTCTGTACCCCACTCTACCTGGTGCATGCTGGGAAAACCGTGACATGTACCATCAATAAGAAGGTCTCTGTGATTAGTTCTCACCAGGACAGGTGGTGCTGGACCTGCAGTCCCATTCTTGTGAGGACCCTCCTGAACTCATAGTAAAGTCGATGTGTTGATGAGAGAGCTGCAACAATTAGCTGATTAATCAACTTACTGCTTGACAGAAAGCCAACTAGTTTAGTTCCTGATGAACGTTTTCAATCACAGGAAGTGAGTCTTTGGGTCTTGGAGAGAACAGTACCTCTGAAGATGTCTCTGTGGACATATTGCACCATTTTCCAATCTTTTCTTCACCTAATGATTAATAACGTGCAGATTAATCAATTATGAACTCAGTCATCAGCTGCAGCTCTGAAGGTCTAGACTTTCACCTCGGACTCAACCAAACAGTTCACAGATTAATCCAGAAAACAACTAGTAGATCATCTATAAGCGAGTAATGAGTAATTCCTCATCTCTCACTGATTTCTGCTCAAACTGAGGTTTTAGATGATGGAGTTAAATCTGACCTGAGACCAGGAAGAGAAGCTGAAGTTTGGTCCTCAGAGGAAAACGTGCAGCAAACACAAACTGGGACTCTGATTTATGGAAATCACTTTTCAGCCCACATTTACAGCGACAGGAGACTGAGACATGTCTGACAAACTGTGCAGCTCAGCCTCAGTCTGAGGGCAGTGCCAGCAAAGGTCTAGACCCTCTGTGGAGCCGGGACAAAGCGAGGATGTCTTTAGGTTTCCAAGAATCTGTTCATAGAGTTTTTTGAAAAGCAAAGAGCCCAGTGTAAAGTGAGGAAAACAAAGATTTTGGTAACGAAAAGAAAAGTGTTTTATAAAGCGTTGCTGGGTTAAATGAGGACATACTGTGTGGTCCTCACTGTCCCTGGGTTAAAACCAGAAAGCAATGAGTCTGTCAACACTTGCAGTGTTCCGAGCAACTTTAATGAAAAGGAAAAAAACCCTAACAAGTTTCAGCATTAAAGCCTTCGCTGGGCTCTATCAAAAACATACAAGATTTTTCAGTTAATGAGTTTCTGTAGTGGGGTTTGGTGTTTTGTGCTCATGGGCTCCATGTGCACTTTATCGTTTCTCTTCTGTTTTGTGTTTTTTCACATATGTGGTGTCACCTGTGTCAATTACTGGACACACCCGTTACCCCTTTGTCGATTTGATCCTTGAATGTGACTGACCTATGACCACGAGACTGTTAGATATTAGTAAATCAGTCAGATAATTATTAGACATTAATGTGTTAGTAATGCAGTTTAGTAAGATTTAAAGTCTGCTCTAGTCCGCTTTGCTTCAAGGTTAGAAGACAGTGCTGATTCTGAAATGTGAGCTACAGTTACCTTGACACCAATTGTTTTATTGCATTCATCTTGTGTTAGAATTATGTCTGAATGAATGTTTTAGTTACGCACCATGTGATAACACACACGTCGAAATTCCTCATTTTGTTATGACCAGCTGCTCCAAGCCTGTGGAGCTCTAGCTAAGAGACGGAGTGTGCGGACTGACTTCATCTGTGTAAGGGGTTAGTCCAAAAACTGATAAATGTATCAGGTTCCTTCTTCTGGGAGCCAGTGTGTGTGTCTCTGGAGGAAGGAACATCCCGGGTCGTGTTTGTAATTTTATTTGTGGTTTAAAATAAATCATCACTAAAATAAAGAAAGATGGACTCCTTCGTTTTTCAGATCTGTCCAATAAAAGAACTGGGGTATAACAAGACCATGCACTTAATTTGGTATGAATGTTAACACTTTGTAATAATTCTTTAGTATATTACTTGTGTGGTGTAGAAGAGACTTATTTAAGAATGTAATTATGTAAGAATGTTAACACTTATAATAATTTTTTTTAGTATATTACTTGTGTGGTGTAGAAGATAATTATTTATTGTTTGCAAACCAATGATGGTAAGATGATGTCATGGGGTAGGACTGGATAAGTCTGACTTCTTCCTACTCCATTCAAGCATGTACTAGGTATAAGCAAATTGATATTGGATTAGCATTTGTTGGATATGTGTAAAATTATGTGTGTTGACATATCAACTGTCTTTACATGCTTGAAAGAATAAATAAATCAAATCAAATATGTGCACGTTTCTTATTGGCCGACATGTACGACTTTGTGTGTGGTTTGTTGTTTAAGGATTCTTTTCTCTACTTGTACTATTAATGGAACTCGTGTTTTCCAGGGGCCCTGGCGAAGGCTTTACGCGTTGGCCTTTTATCTTTGCAGTGACGTTGCTCGGACCCCTACAAGTGCTGCCAGACTTTCCAGTTTGTTGTCCTGCATTTGTACACCGTGACAGTGGGTACCTGTGTTTAAAACCAACCGTTATTCTAGTATTGTTTCACCTCAGCGTTACGATCGAAACGATGTTAAGGGCAGGTTGGGTTTTTAATGGTCCTCACAACCACAGAGGAACAGACTCGTGTGCGTCTTACAGATCTCTCGGGGGGAAGCTGCACCGCCGTTACTGCGACGATGAGGTCTATATAAACGCCAGTTGATAATTCGACCTAATGGATCACAGCAGCGGATAAAACGCGTCGCATTACCGTCAACCTGCCGCTAAGTGCTAAACTGATCCGGGATGCGCGCGTGCGTACCTTGCCGCTCAGGTCCTCCTTATGCCGCGCCGTGCCGCTCCTCCTCCGTAGTTTGATGGACGGGGAGCGCAGAAGGTTCCTGATGCGGCTGCGGATCGTGCCGCTTCCCTCCATAGTCATCGCGCTGCTAGCTGGCTGCTAGCTGTCTCTCTCAGCGGCTGGAGCCTCCCTCTGTAACTGTCTCCTCCACCACAGCAGCTACTGCTGTCATGCTGTTTGGGAGCCGAGCCGTGTCTGGACTGTAGTTTCAGCTAGTCTGGCTCTAGTTCTCCTTCTGGACTGAACCGGGTCACGGGCTCCGGTTCCACTTCTAGTCCACATCTTTTTTTCTCCGCCGCAACGACGAAAGGAGAGGCGGCCTCTCCAATAGGACTCGGACCAGACTAAACGACTGACGCACCGCCAGCGTCAAGACCGCATGCGGCAAACACTCCGACACTTCCTGCCTGGCTTTTCGCAAAAATAGCTGGTGGGCTCTCAAAATCTTTCAATTAAAACCACCTTTTTATGTTTGTTTTTTTTTACCTCCTTGCGTGCTGCACCATGTTGTTTGAGTCCAACAATAAAACGCCAGTTGTTACTGTTAATACTCGATGTACCCACAATAAACAAGACTAAGGGCAGTGCAGGCGGTTTACGTGTTTCTGATGGAGAAATCCCAGTCATGACCAGTATTTGTCCAAAAACTTTCCAACGCTTCTCTTACGGGTAAAGTTCGATGTAAACCTCAAATGCTGTATTACCAAAGGAGGAAAAAAAAAATCCTACTCCAAAGCCGTGCTTTTACTTTGACGGCAAAGCCACCTGACTTCCGGCCTCACAGAACGGGCTGAATTCAACGACGCTGCAGCGACATTCAGCGGCAAATAGACAAACTGCAGCTTCCCATTGAAGATCCTCCTATAAAAATCTGTTTTTACCTATTTTGTTGAATACAAAAGCTGCACCGATCCGCCTGTCAGTCTCCCGTTCCATCCTTCCCTCACTCGTGAACAAGACACCAAGATACGTGAACTCCTCCACTTGAGGCAGGAACTCTCCACCAACCAAGCTCCTGCTCCGGTCGTACAGGGATCGGACAACCCTTAGCAAAGGGCCCCGGACCCCGTACTCCCGGAGCACCCCCCACAGGGCACCGCGAGCGATACGGTCGAATGCCTTCTCCAGATCCCCGAAACACATGCGGACTGCTTGGGCAAACTCCCATGAACCTTCCACCACCCTGAAGAGGGTATAGAGCTGGTCCACTGTTCCACGGCCAGAACGAAAACCGCATTGTTCTTCCTGAATCTGAGGTTCGACTATCGGTCGAATTCTCTTCTCCAGTACTCTGGCATAGACTTTCCCGGGGAGGCTGAGGAGTGTGATCCCCCTATAGTTGGAACATACCCTCCGGTCCCCCTTCTTGAAAAGAGCTTTTGTCTTTAAGAAAAAAAGAAGTCCTTATTCAAACTTTATTCACATTAGAGTTTAGAGGCGTCTACGTTCAGACAACTTATTTACATCAAAGGTTTCAACACTTATAAAAAATACATATGTAGAAAAACAGACTTCAGAACTGTACAAAAGAAAGCGCAGCAGCTTCATCTGTTAACAGCCCAGGCGATGGTTTAAACACCAGACTGGTCCTTTAATCGTCCTGTGGCGCTGTGAACACTGAGCAGGTAAAGGGGAGTCCAGGTGAGACTTGGTGTTTTTAGTGTTGAAAAATGAAACACTGATTTGTGCCGACTCAGGTCCTAATTTCCTTTAAATATTTTATTTAAATGTAAAACTGAAAACATGGACATTTTTATTAATAAACCAGGCTCCTGTGTCCAGTGACTGAATATTTCATCCTGAAATGAAGTCCAACATGACCTGACCGACGTTTTCCTATTCTGTCTGAAAAGCCCTCAAAAATAAGACCAGAATTTCAGTTTTTCAGCATTTGAGCATCTCTGAGGGAAAAGGTGACATTTTGAGAATAAAGTCCAAATTTTGGAGAACGAGGATATAATTGACAAGAAAAAAATCATGATTTTTCTTTGCTTTAATGGAATAGTTCGATGGTTTTGGAGGTGCACCTGTTTCTTTCCAGAAAAACTTCTTGATTTAAATTTTTGGGCTGAAAGATTTGAAGAAAAACAAAAAAATATGTTTTTAAAATTTCCAATCTCAAAGCGAAACCTTCAAAGCAGATATTTGAATCAATGCTTTTCAAAGTAAAATATTTAAATGCTTTGCGTAAAAATAATCAGGGAAATAAATAAAATAAAAAAGATTCCTGTTGTGGGAAAAGCGTGATGATTTTTTGTTTGGCGCATTACAGACCAGGAAACAGCTGTCATCAGTAATGAAGAAGACCGAGTTGCACCATTTTGAGACAGCATAGGATTGTGAGGAAAATGGCAAATGTTGACTTTGTTTTGGTAACATTACAAATCATTTCAACCGTCAGCCAGTCACTCACCCGCCACCAAGCAACCGCAACAAGCACAAACTGCACAGCTGGTTTCTGTTCAAAGTTGTTCAAAACTGCACTGCAAATTGCAACACCTGTCTTGTTTAGGTTCCTGCAACCATTGCCTGGCAACAACCTCAGTGACACTAAAGGCCAACTTCCACAGCAACCCGCTGCCCATAAAGTTGCCCTGGTTGCATGTTTCTGCGTTCAGGCGGCCCGACAGATGAAATTCAGACAAAGTGAACTGTGTATTGTCAGCTGGGTGGGTTTCCTCTCAGTCCCAGAGGAACTAGCCTTGGCATGGGCCTCCAGGCCACACCTCCGTCCCCCCTCCCCCCTCCCTCTGCGCCATCACTGCTGATCGGGTCCACCACCTTAGCCCCTCCCATCTTCATCTGCAGCAGAGGAGGTGGGGCCAGAACAGCACCTATAGTGTTCCCATTGGCCAGTCCAATTGGTGTTCCAGTCTCCGTGGTCTCTGTGCCTTCATTAAGTCCCACCTCCTCCATCTCTACAGAGATGGCGTCATCAGAGTCCGAGTCCAGTTGCAGGAGCCAGGGGCCACAGGCATGGTCCTGCTCCTGGGCCTCGCCCAGTTCAGGGGACTGTTTCTCTGGTATCAAGGCACCTGCCGTCATCACTGTGGTGATGGTCTGCTGGTTCAGAACGAGAATCTCGTTGAGGAGGGAGGTCAGGCGCTCAGTCTCACCGTGCCTTCTGGTCTCCTGCCTCTCCAAACAGGCAGCCCCCCCCAACTCGACTTCAGCCTGACTTGAGTCAGGTCTGAGGTCAGACTGGGATGAAGGCTGGTCCTGGTCTTTGGACTGGTCTGATCCAGCAGAGACCAGCGTTGGAGGAGGAGGAAGAGATTGACCTGCTGGGACCTGCTGCTGTGCCGTTTTTAATTGAGGTTGTATTTGTTGTAGCTGTGGTGCTTGTGACTGTTGCTGTACTTCCTGCGGTGACAGTTGAGTAGTTACCGGTTGAACCAGGTGTAGCAGGTTGTTCAAGTCTGTAGCTGTAAACAACAGAGTGAAGAGAGGTTTCATCAGAACATTTGAGGCCAGTCAGAGCTGAGGACTACCAGTTCTGTTACCAGTCAGCCGCTCAGTTAGCCTGAGTGTGCTGGTCAGCGCAGTGGGCAAGTTCTGAGTCAGGTTAGTGGCTGCTGGTCAGTTTGTCTTTTCCAGTGACACTTATGGCTGAGTTAGATGGGTTACAGTTAGTCACCCTGTCACTTCCTGAGGTTTACTGGTCTACACTGGTTACTTGTGAGTTTACTTGGCAAGTTACATGTGAGGTTAGTTGGACTAATTGCCACTGATGCTCGTTAATTGTGAGGTTAGTTAGTTACTTGTGTGGTAAGTGAGGGTGGGGCTGCTGTAGATCTTACCAGTTATGGTGTGGGGCAGTGAGGTGAGATGGACCTGCTGACTAGCCAGACTGGGGATGTTCAGGGTGACCGAGGCCACACCTACAGACAGGAAGAGGACACACCTTACTTTCAAAATAAAAGTATTTTGAAACGCAAAGCAGAGCGACAGGGGTTGGTCAGTACCTGATGTAGGAGTCGTCTGCAACACCGTCGGTCCTGCCAACAGCGGGCTTAGGGTCAGGATTGGTTTTCCCGGCAACGCTGCTCCAACCAGAGGCAAAACCTCAGCTGGTACCAGAGCCTGAAATGACAGAGTTTCACCTGGACAAACAGGAAGGCAGGAGCTTAATCTGGTTATTTGGAAATGTATCTTTTAGTTTCATATTTATACACAAACTCTGTCTGAGAGAACAACAGAGCTGGAAACCCAAATCAACTGATCAAAAGTGATCAATAACACCGCAGAACTGATAAATTACACTGTTTCCCATACACTGGCTTATTTGAGGTGTGCCGCCACAATATCAACATTAACATACTGATTTAAACTAGGTTAAATCTCATTTCAGTGTAATGCCGTGTGTAGGTGCACCACTCTGTTTCTCTCTCACACACACACAAACACATGATGACCATGACGCCGGACTGTCTGTGAATAGCTCTTCCTCTCTGTGTTGGTTTTTTCAACACAACGCTGTCAGTCGTGCAGGTCCAACTCTTCCAGAAGTTATTAGCAAGCTAGTAAGGCTAGCTAGGCTAACGTAGCTGTTGCTGGGGTCAGCACGCTGTGTATAGCATGGATGTTTTACAGTCCACAGGCAGAGACAGTCATGCATGAGACAATGCATTTGCAACTGTGACTAAAGCAGGGTCCGAAATTCTGGACTGATTAAAATAAGAGCATATCAGTTATACATGTGTCTCGAAAACGCAGCTGAAACGCTTCTGGTGCGACTGCAGTTAGAGTGAAGAGTCTCCGGACTCAGGAGGAGCTTAAGCTGGTTGAAATGAATAAGCATCCAATGCGTTTACAAAACTTCAAATTTACTTTAGTTTGTCCCTTAATAGTAAATATGTTAAGTGGAATTCTGCAATCCAGACTTCTTGAGTTGTATTGTGGCTTTTAAATTTTAATTGAAAAATGAATGAAAACTATTTATTAATTACCAACTGATATTAAAATAACTTGGCTTCCGATTTTGCTCCGACCTCTTTGTTTGTATTCAACATAACACCTTATTACTTCAATAAAATCCTGAAGCAAATGTGCATGTCGCACAAAAAGGCAATTTAATATTTTGTCTGGTAAAAATATGTTTGGCTGGTGGATTTTTCCAACTACCAGCCACCTCGATTGACCGGAGTATCGTCACATGTTTACAATGCTTAAACTAACTTTTTGAGAGAGCCTGGCGGTCAGTTACGTAATGAGTTAGTTCTTTAGTCAGTTAGGTATGGAGTTTCTAAACAAGTCAGTCAGTCAGGTTGCGGACTAATTAGTTGGTCACATAATGAGTTATCCTTGTATCCATGCACGACCAGAGCAGGAGCTTGGTTTGCATTGCCGACAGTAAGTCAGACTTGTTTCCAGTGTATGTTGGACTCCGGTAGGGCTGCCCTTTGGCACCGGTTCTGTTCATTATTTTTATGGACAGAATTTCTAGGCGCAGCCAGGGGCCGGAAGGAGTCCGGTTTGGGGACCACAGGATCTCGTCTCTGCTTTTTGCAGACGACGCTGTCCTGTTGGCCCCATCAAACCAGGACCTCCAGCGTGCACTGGGGCGGTTTGCAGCCGAGTGTGAAGCAGCTGGGATGAGAATCAGCACCTCCAAGTCAGAGGTCATGGTTCTCAGTCGGAAAAGGGTGGCTTGTTCCCTTCGGGTTGGTGGGGAGTTCCTGCCTCAAGTGGAGGAGTTCAAGTATCTTGGGGTCTTGTTCACGAGTGAGGGAAGGATGGAACGGAAGATTGACAGGTGGATCGGTACAGCTTCTGCAGTAATGCAGTCGATGTACCGGTCCATCGTGGTGAAGAAGGAGCTGAGCCATAAGGCGAAGCTCTCGATTTACTGGTCAATCTA